ACTTTTGTGTTAACCTTGATTTTTCTGGCCCATCTGTTTGCTTTCTGTGCGTACTTTGGAATATGATTTTGGGATTTTTCAACAACTTTCAGTTCGAATTTGGGTTTCATAAGTTCATTGCTAGATTCTCCACTGCAATATCAGCATTGTGAGCGCTTGAATTCATTAAATAAAAAAGGGTTTATTCTGTTTGATTATCCATTATATACCCTTTTTAGCAGCACAATTTTTATAGTTGAGAAGTGGATAATACCGTGTTATTTAGAAAACGACACTTTGAGTGATTGTTCTTGAGAATTACTTCATCTTTCTTCATTTGAGTTGTAGCACTAGCATTAAATTTCCAAATCATCTTATTGTATGTCAAGTTTGTTTTAACGACTTGAATTTCTGACAGGTTTCACATGAGGAGAAACTTGAAGTTCCAATCCTAGTGGCACTGAGGCAAAGGATTTTAGAGCATGCCAGTAATCTCGAAGCTTTTGTTCTGAAACTTGCCCCTGATGTAGATCTTGAGCGGCCATCAAAATTAGCCCAAGTGGCTATTGGAGTTGTCTCTTTTCCTGCTAAGGGTGTTGAATCTCTTGAAAACTGTTCCATCTGTTGCGATGATAAACCATCCTTGATGATGATCACCATGAAATGTTCTCATAAGTTCTGTTCACATTGCATGAGAACATACGTTGATGGGAAGGTACAGTCCTCTCAAGTCCCCATCAGATGTCCTCAACTGAGATGCAAGTATTACATCTCCACTGCTGAGTGCAAATCTTTTCTTCCACTCACTTCGTATGAGTCATTGGAGAAATCCTTTGCAGAAGCAAATATTCTCCACTCAGATAGAATGTACTGCCCATTTCCAAATTGTTCTGTCCTGCTTGATCCCCTTGAATGTTTCTCAGCTAGGGCAAGTTCATCAAGTCAGTCAGATAACAGCTGCATTGAATGTCCAGTTTGTCAGAGGTTCATCTGTGCGGATTGTGGGGTTCCTTGGCATACTTCTATGAGCTGCGAGGAGTTCCAGAATCTCCCATTGGAAGAGAGAGATGCTGCAGACATTACCTTACATCGCTTGGCACAAAGTAACAGCTGGAGGCGTTGCCAGCAGTGTCGTAGGATGATTGAGCTCTCTCAAGGTTGCTACCACATGACTTGCTGGTAAGAATATTTTCATTATATTACACATACTATTTCAATTTTAACAGCACCGACTAAGTTGATTGAGAATGGATCTTCATGTGTGTTTTTGTGCAAAAAAATGTCTTTTGTATGCTTTGAACCAATGTGTTTGAATTTCTTGGAAACTTGTTGCTTGCCTCTGAGGGAGAGTACAATCTTTATGAAAAAATGATTTGAGTTCTAGATTGTAGTCGGTTATTATGATCTCAGACAATTTTTAGCTCATTGGAATATTGATTTTAAGCAGTATATGCTGTGAGTAGGTTGCTGATAGAGGCATACGTTTGTTTATTGAATCATTGTGTAACTATTAGATAAGAAATCAGTGTGTCCTTTCCGTTACAAGTTGTTGAAATTTACTGAGCATTTTGTGTTCCTCATCTTCAGGTGTGGGCATGAGTTCTGTTATTCTTGTGGTGCTGAATATCGGGATAGCCAACAGACTTGTCAATGTGCCTTTTGGGACGAAGACAACAACAACACACAAGACTTGGTCACTCAGTCTATGCAAGAATCCGAGCAATGGGCGTGGGAAACATTCAATTCACTCCCCATGATAATGGATGCATACTCGGACCAAGAGAAATCGCAGCTGGCGCTGATCCAGAGATTCCTAGCGGGGGGTTTCAGTTTAAGCGACCATCCCCCTTATCAATCCCCACCTCGGTGTACAGATTCTTATGTAGACGCCATGAAAGATCTCCATCAGCTTCCTTGGCTCGAGAGGTTTGTTTCCGTTATAAGTGATAACTACTACGAAGAATATATCCAGTGAATTATAGGACTTTTGAAATTCGAAAATAATCTGCACAGCTACCCGAGAATACCTTTCGTAGGAGTAAAGAGTGTCTCGCTCTATTCACTGCGGAGATTTATGTGCCTCTTTTCCTTTGTAGTTTCATAAGCATTGTGTTAAAAAGATTTGCGGCCATTATAAGGTACCTTGTGTAAAACATTGAAGGGCAAGCGTGTATGCTGATAGGCGATAGCTTTCTTCTTGAAAGAAAAGAGGGGAAAAAAAAAGATAGTGTATTGAATTGAAATAACATTTATCATGTTATTGAATTGAAAAAATATTTTCCGTTTAAGATGCACTTTCTGAGATGAAAAATACTAAATACTCATCAAAGTAAGAGTTGATATCATTTTTTTCTAGTGACATTGTAAGTAAGGCCAACAAAGTTTTATGGCACAGAATGTTAGACGGTCAAGCATTGATACATGCAAAAAATGAGTGTAACGGCAATGAGAATGTTTCGTCTAATGTATAGGCATACGAGAAATGACAATATTAAGAATGAGGATATTCAAGGTAAAGTAGGAGTGATCGCAATTGAAGATAAGATGAGAGAAAATCGGTTAAGGTGGTTTGGACGTGAACTGAAGATTCACAAATGCTTCGGTTAGAACATGCAATTACAAGACAGATGCTTAGGGCAAAAGAGGTAGAGGAGGTCCTAGTTTGGTACCGAGATGATTCTGAAAAAAAGTGGCTATCAAAAAAAGCTGGGATCTTTTTTATGTTTAGTAAACATTCAGCTTCAGGTTTTTTTCATATTTTTGGGTGAAAAAAAGCCAAAAACACAAAGCTGCAAAACCCAGCTTTGAAAAACCAGTTTTTTTCACATCTGTTTTATATAAAAGTTTATCAAACACTATAATAATGCTTTTTTTTCTTTTCAAAAACACTTTTACAAAAAAATTTATCAAACACTCAGCCGCTTTATTTCATAGTTGCTTATTCTCACAGCTCAGTAGAAGCAATTTTTTTTTTCAAAGCACAACAATACCAAACCAGACATAGGAAGACTTGAAAAGAGACTTTAAGAAAAAACAAAGAGTATTTGGAGATAACAGAAGATTTGGCGCAAAATCGAGTACAATGACGTTCTAGGATTTATACAATCGATCCCAGTTAATTGGATAAAGCTTTGTTATTTTGTTGTTGACATTGTAAATGCTCGTTTTCCAAGCAAACTTAGTGCAAATGAGTTGTGTACGAGCTTTATCAGCCGAACAACCAAAGCTCAAGTTTGGGTTGTTTCCTGAACGAGCAAAGCTTAAGACAAACCAAATCCAATCCAAATTCAATACAAATTCCAGCTATTTCGAGCCAATTTACATTGTATTCATAGTTGTCCCATTTTGTATGATAGACACCCTCTTTGTCATGTTTGTTTTTTAAGTAAATGAGAAAGAGACCACACTGACCCACCACTTATGATTGTACGGGTGGTGGTTGTGGTGGTGTTTGGTTTTGCAAAGTGAGTAGAGGACAAGTTGCATTTTGGATAAGGGGAGTTTCAATCAAGTTCACCATCTCCACATGTTTAATGGAACCGTCGTGCTTAAGTGGCTTCAATCCAAACCTACTACCAATTACACATGGAAAGTTGGTGTTCGTTGGCTTTTTATGGACTTGGCTTTTTGCTAACCTTGTTCAAGCATGGCTTGGCTTGTTCTCAAGAATCGAAAATGGCCCATTGGGCTTCACTTTGTTTAGTATTTTTCAACTTCTTACGATTAGATAAAAGAGTAATGCTTGAGTTTGTCGTTAGTTTTTTAGCATTTATCATACTAGATGACATTCGAGTCTTAAACAGTGCATTCATTCTGTTGTCAATTCTTCCTACACACCTTCGTAAATGATCATGGAGTGCATTTCTAAATTTTTTTTGTGTGTATATTTCCACATCATTTAGCCTAAGTTCCTTGGAGCTAGAAAATTCCTCATCCAAATATAGCCCAAAAATTTAATCCAAAAGCGGAAGGCAAAAACAAAGGCAAGGAGCAAAGTCCAATGGATTCAGAAAGACTGCTCTTGAAAGTGGAATAAAACTTACTAGTTTACATAGAGTGTTAAAGAAGAAAAGAAATTATGATTACACTCCTAATTACAAGTAAACCCTAAAGCATTGAGGGTCCCACTAGTGTAAATTTTCACCCAATTTCCAAGTCCGAGCACACAAAAAGAAAGAGAAAGCAAAATTTTGAAGGAAAATACTAATGAGATTCTTTTAAAAGTGAAAATGTTCATGAACTTTATATCATCTTATGTTTTTTGTATTATATTTTATAATATTTGTACAAAAACTAATATTAAACTAAAAAATAAAAAGTTTCTCACTTTGAAAAAAATCGCTTCACCATTTCTCAATTTTCAAATAAATACAAAGAAGATGATGTGCCAAAAGCTCAAAGTGTACCAAGGGACATGACCCTACCACTGCCACTAAATAACTTTATTCATTGGATAGTGTTAGACGTAACAAAGTGAGGACAGACCGACCTCCTTTTTCTGTTCAATTTTGGCACCTTCTATGTGGGTCATATGTACCTTCTTTCATTTAGGGGAATTTCACCTTTTTCTCTCTTTCATGCAAGATGATTTAAATTGTTTATTTTTTAAAAATCATATTTGTAAAATTAATTAGATTATAAAATCATTTAGTCATCTAATGATTATTTAATATTGACTAGAATCATTTTCTCTTAAATAAATCCTAAAAGTTTGATAACTTTCATCAAATGGTTTAACGATTTCTAATTTGATTTATTTTTTATTACAAGGTTGATCTCTAAAGAATGACTTAGAACTTAGACGATTCTACAATGAAAAGAATAACCAAAAAGGTAAAACAAGAAGATTAGAGTATAATTTAAAACAAATTTTTTTATTGATTTTTAAAGTTAAAAAATAGGTATGCTGGTAAGAATGTAAAACAAAAATGTTGCTACCACATGACATGCTGGTAAGAATGTTTTGATTATATTACACGTACTATTGCATTTAACGCATCTTCATGTGTGTTATTGTGCCAAAAAATGTTCTTTGTATGCTTTGAACCAATTTGTTTGATTTTCTTGGAAACTTGTTGCTTGCCTCTGAGGGAGAGTACAATCTTTATGAAAAAATGATTTGAGTTCTAGATTGTAGTCGGTTATCATGATCTCAGACAATTTTTAGCTCATGGGAATATTGATTTTAAGCAGTATATGCTGTGAGTAGGTTTACTGATAGAGGCATACGTTTGTTTATTGAATCATTGTGTAACTATTAGATAAGAAATCAGTGTGTCCTTTCCGTTACAAGTTGTTGAAATTTACTGAGCATTTTGTGTTCCTCATCTTCAGGTGTGGGCATGAGTTCTGTTATTCTTGTGGTGCTGAATATCGGGATAGCCAACAGACTTGTCAATGTGCCTTTTGGGACGAAGACAACAACAACACACAAGACTTGGTCACTCAGTCTATGCAAGAATCCGAGCAATGGGCGTGGGAAACATTTAATTCACTCCCCATGATAATGGATGCATACTCGGACCAAGAGAAATCGCAGCTGGCGCTGATCCAGAGATTCCTAGCGGGGGGTTTCAGTTTAAGCGACCATCCCCCTTATCAATTCCCACCTCGGTGTACAGATTCTTATGTAGACGCCATGAAAGATCTCCATCAGCTTCCTTGGCTCGAGAGGTTTGTTTCCGTTATAAGTGATAACTACTACGAAGAATATATCCAGTGAATTATAGGACTTCTGAAATTCGAAAATAATCTGCACAGCTACCCGAGAATACCCTTCGTAGGAGTAAAGAGTGTCTCGCTCTATTCACAGCGGAGATTTATGTGCCTTTTTTCCTTTGTAGTTTCATAAGCATTGTGTTAAAAAGATTTGCGGCCATTATAAGGTACCTTGTGTAAAACAGTGAAGGGCAAGCGTGTATGCTGATAGGCGACAGCTTTCTTCTTGAAAGAAAAGAGGGGGAAAAAAAAGATAGTGTATTGAATTGAAATAACATTTATCATGTTATTGAATTGAAAAAATATTTTCCGTTTAAGATGCACTTTCTGAGATGAAAAATACTAAATACTCATCAAAGTAAGAGTTGATATCATTTTTTTCTAGTGACATTGTAAGTAAGGCCAACAAAGTTTTATGGCACGGAATGTTAGGCGGTCAAGCATTGATACGTGCAAAAAATGAGTGTAACGGCAATGAGAATGTTTCGTCTAATGTATAGGCACACGAGAAATGACAATATTAAGAATGAGGATATTCAAGGTAAAGTAGGAGTGATCGCAATTGAAGATAAGATAAGAGAAAATCGGTTAAGGTGGTTTGGACGTGAACTGAAGATTCACAAATGCTTCGGTTAGAACATGCAATTACAAGACAGATGCTTAGGGCAAAAGAGGTAGAGGAGGTCCTAGTTTGGTACCGAGGTGATTCTGAAAAAAAGTGGCTATCAAAAAAAGCTGAGATCTTTTTTATGTTTAGTAAACATTCAGCTTCAGGTTTTTTTCATATTTTTGGGTGAAAAAAAGCCAAAAACACAAAGCTGCAAAACCCAGCTTTGAAAAACCAGTTTTTTTCACATCTGTTTTATATAAAAGTTTATCAAACACTATAATAATGTTTTTTTTTCTTTTCAAAAACACTTTTACAAAAAAGTTTATCAAACACTCAGCCGCTTTATTTCATAGCTGCTTATTCTCACAGCTCAGTAGAAGCAATTTTTTTTTTCAAAGCACAACAATACCAAATCAGACCTAGGAAGACTTGAAAAGAGACTTTAAGAAAAAACAAAGAGTATTTGGAGATAACAGAAGATTTGGCGCAAAATCGAGTACAATGACGTTCTAGGATTTATACAATCGATCCCAGTTAATTGGATAAAGCTTTGTTATTTTGTTGTTGACATTGTAAATGCTCGTTTTCCAAGCAAACTTAGTGCAAATGAGTTGTGTACGAGCTTTATCAGCCGAACAACCAAAGCTCAAGTTTGGGTTGTTTCCTGAACGAGCAAAGCTTAAGACAAACCAAATCCAATCCAAATTCAATACAAATTCCAGCTATTTCGAGCCAATTTACATTGTATTCATAGTTGTCCCATTTTGTATGATAGACACCCTCTTTGTCATGTTTGTTTTTTAAGTAAATGAGAAAGAGACCACACTGACCCACCACTTATGATTGTACGGGTGGTGGTTGTGGTGGTGTTTGGTTTTGCAAAGTGAGTAGAGGACAAGTTGCATTTTGGATAAGGGGAGTTTCAATCAAGTTCACCATCTCCACATATTTAATGGAACCGTCGTGCTTAAGTGGCTTCAATCCAAACCTACTACCAATTCCACATGGAAAGTTGGTGTTCGTTGGCTTTTTATGGACTTGGCTTTTTGCTAACCTTGTTCAAGCATGGCTTGGCTTGTTCTCAAGAATCGAAAATGGCCCATTGGGCTTCACTTTGTTTAGTATTTTTCAACTTCTTACGATTAGATAAAAGAGTAATGCTTGAGTTTGTCGTTAGTTTTTTAGCATTTATCATACTAGATGACATTCGAGTCTTAAACAGTGCATTCATTGTTCTTGTACACCTCGAATTCAACCCCACTGGTGACCCTCACGCTATAGGTGCTGACGTACGTCACCTCCAAAGACTCATTATCAACTCGATTGTGGCGGAGCGTGAGCGAGGTCGAGTCCGACGCCGGAACCAGGTCTTGTTGATTTCAAGTGATACCCCAATCTCACGTCGGAGGTGGCGGAGCATGAGGTGGTCAGGAACGCTCCCAGTCATCTCCTCTGTCTGACTCAGAACCCATATTTGCAGTGCACGACTCTGCTCATAGTCCTCTTCAGTTTTAAGGTATTACGTTTTAGGGATTTAGGATTGAAAATTAAATTAGGGTTTTCTAGATTTAGGGATTTTGTTGGGTTCTTGAACCTTGACCTCTGTTATGTTCCAATTTCAAATCTTTTATTAAATTGAATTTGAATCAATTGAGTTTGAAACTTCTGTTAAATTAAATTGAATTTGAATCGATTGTGTGTGTGAGTATATTTATATGTATGTGTGTGTGTGCGTGTGTGTGTGTGTGTGTGTGTAAGAATTGATGTACTGAATTATATGTAAGAATTGATGTGCAATGCAACCTTAGTTTTAAAAAACAGCTCCTATAATTTTCAAATCTGTTGTGATTCAAGAGAGCTAAAGAACAGCTCCTGTAAGAATTGATCTCCTGGAACAATCGTGATTGGAGAACAATTCGAGAACGGGGTGGAGTTAGGAGGAGAGATCGAGCTCTGAGACGGAGTGAAATGAGAGGAGTTGAGACTCAGGAGGAGAGATTGAGAAGACTAAGATGAGGAAAATTGTAGAAACGGGCCAAGCCAAAGGACAATTCCTTCATATTTTAAGATCCGCCCTGCCCCGCTAATTTCGTATACCTGAACCGCCCCGCCCCGTTTTGTGTTTAAAAACTTTGGACCCGCCCCGAACCTGAATTACCTGCCTTTACCCGCGGTTCCTATACCCGTTTGCCCACCCCTAATAAAGCCAATGGAAAAAGAATAGTGATTTTGGCACCCCAAAATAATGCATCAAATAAGGCAGGGGCGTTTTCATCATTTTGATAGTATTTTTTTTAATAATTAATTTTTTTGTGGTTTTTTATTTTTTTTATTAGTATACCTCACAATAGCTAGCAATAATGTGATTCAATTTCTCTATTTTTAAATATGTTCAAAACATCTTAAGTGGCATGTAATGCTAGTTATAAAAAAGGTCATTCGCACGCGAATAATAATGTGATTAAATTAGTTGTCAAATGATTGTTTTTTTAACAAACGATATTATCTACACTAAGGGGGAGAAGGGTGGGCTTAGCCTCATAATGGGTTAGCAATAATGTGATTCAATCAGTTGTTTATTAAATATTATTTTCTTTATCTTAAACACATTCAAAACATCTTAAGAGGCGTGTAAAGCCGGTTATAAAAAAAAGTCTTTCGCACGCGGATAATAATGTGATTAAATTAGTTGTCAAATGATTATTATTACTTTTTTAACAAACGATATTATCTACACTAAGAGGGAGATGGTGGACTTAGCCTCACAACGGGCTAGTAATAATGTGATTCAATTAGTTGTTTTTTAAATATTATTTTCTCTATTTTTAAGCACGTTCAAAACATCTTAAGAGGTGTGTAATGCTAGTTATAAAAAAGGTCTTTCGCAAGTGGATAATAATGTAAATTCTATTCGAGACCGATTTTATTACTGCAGTTTAGTGGTATTCATCTTCACTTGTAGGTGGCTAGCCATAACCCAAATGATTATGTCTCAACTCTACCCCAAGAAAATAGCTTGGGCTATTAGGATATCTCCAGTGGAGTCCCTAAATAAAGTCATTACCACCCTCTACCACCGTATGTCTTTAAATTTAGAGACTTTGTGACTTCCAATGGGATGGAGCTCCAGTCCCTAAGGAATAGTGATTTTGGTGTCACCAAGCTTCAACAAAAGAATTTGGAATACAATGAAATACCCTCACATGATATGACACAAGGCTTCCAATTGAAACTTGAAATTGTAATACATTTCTGGAAACATGATTTCTCATTGTGAAGCTTGTTCGTTTCAGTGGAGAATTATACATGCCCGAAGCATATCTCCACAAGTAAATCCTTCAAGTATACATGGAAACAAGTTGCTCTGGATAAATTCTAAAGGAGAATATGTCACGAAGTATAGAAAATCCCTGAATGATTCAAATTGCTTGAAGAAAGCCCTGGACGTGTAAAGCATAAATTATGTACTTAATACCAATGAATGGTATAAATTGCCTTAATGAGTACTATCATTATGATATTGTTGCAACATACTAAATCTTTTGCAAGAGTTAATAATCTTAGAATGAGACTCTTGAAGAGTCTAGAAAGATTTTAAAGTGTTGAAAGGAATATTGTCTCGAGCTGTAGTCGAACAATATGCCAACGCAAGTCTTATCCATGATGTTTATAGTATTAAAGAACCATATGGATTGAAGATCATGAGTTGAACACTCAAGTGGTTAATTAATATTTAGACACTAAGAAAAATCATTCATCCTTGTGAGGGAAATGATGAGTTGATGTTTGGTCCAGGAGCATCCAAAACAGATTAAGGTTTTAACGAGGCAGCCGAAATTGACATATGACCATCCAAAGGGGAGTGTTGTAATATAATGTGTGGATGGCCCACATGAATAGTTCATTACTATTCATCCAAAGAAAAGTGGATGGATTATTGGATGAGTATTTCGCTATACATTTGAGAAAAGGTTGTAAAGTGAATAATGTTGCTATAGTGATTCTTTTGTCTATAAAATGAATGTGAGGAGAAGGAGGAGAACCATACAACAAACGGAAGAAAGAAAGAGGAAGGAAGCAAGAGAGAAAGAAAAGAAGAGAGAGGAGAGAAGGAAGAGAAAGAGAGATACATAATGAAATACCAGTGAACTGGGCTAGAGAGAAAAGAGAAAATAGTGAGATTTATCTTTATATTCCTATTATTTTACGTAATGAAAGAAAGTACTGCTGCTGCCCCGAGGATGTAGGCATACTTGCCGAACCTCATAAATATTATGTCTCATTTACTTTATATTCCACTACAAACATATCGTCGATTTTATAACACTTGATGCTTATTTTATTTCCGTGTCTTATTTTTCTGAGAGTGTTGGTGAGAGGTGTGGTATAGTTTCTAAACTTATCAACCACATTGGTTTGGTATTAGTTCATAAACTAAATACCAACAATTATTCCATTCACAATTGAATCTTAACCATGAATATTCCAATTGCAATTTTCCTTGCATCAATTGCAATCTTTCTTTTCCACTTCATCAGGTTGAAAACCAGCAAACGAAGCAAAGAAATTCTCCCTCCAGGTCCAAGGCCATGGCCAATTGTTGGTTGTGTACCACAAATGTGGAGGAACAGGCCAGCTTATAAATGGGTACATAGCATTTTGGAAGAATTCAACACGGACATTGCCTGCGTAAAATTAGGAAATGTTCATGTCATCGCAGTGAAATCACCAGAAATTGCCAGGGAGTTTTTGAAGAAAAATGATGCAGTTTTTGCATCAAGACCTGTTACAATGGCCACCCATATTTTAAGCAGTGGCTACGTGACCACAGGCGTTGTACCTTGGGGAAGCCAGTGGAAGAAAATGAGAAGGGTCTTGATTGCTGATGTGTTCAATCAGTCTAGGGTTCACTGGCTACTTGGTAAAAGAAATGAAGAAGCTGATAATCTTGTTAAGTTCCTATATAATCAGTGCTCGGTGAATCCGAATGGTTCAGTAGTGAATGTGAGAACTGCAGCCCTATTTTACTCAGGAGGTGTCATGAGAAGGATGATTTTCAACTCAAGGTACTTTGGCAAAGGGAGAGAGGATGGAGGGCCTGGTTTGGAAGAGGAAGAACACGTATCCGCCCTTTTGACCATTCTTTTGCATGTGTACGCATTCTGTGTATCGGATTATCTTCCGTGGCTCAGAGTGTTTGACATAGGCGGCCATGAGAAAAAGGTGAGAGATGCTTTGAAGATTACCAAGCAGTATCAAGACCCTGTTATAAACGAGAGATTACATCAATGGAGAGATGGGAAAAGGACGGAGCCTGCGGACCTGCTTGATGTTTTCATATCACTCAAAGATGCAAATGGACAGCCTTTACTCTCTAGTGAAGAAATCAAAGCGCAAATCACAGTGAGATATTCTTACCACCCTCGAATATTTTGGATCCTTTTGTAATGTTTAATTTCCTAAATAAAATTGTGCGCTTATGTTAAAACTATGATTTATACGTATTTCCATTTACTGTTTAATGTTTTGTTGTCAAAGTTGTGGTGTCGTCTCGATGTTTTGTTGATGTTTATTGAGCTAAAAAATTTCTCATGCCCTAATTTACGAAGATTTAGACTTTCATTTCATTTTTTGCCCAATTTAATTATATGAGTTCTAAATAGTAAAAATAAAACTAAATGTAAAACGTTCATAACTTTGAAATGCAAAAGCGTAAGCATAACATACTAGAAGCACATAAACATAAGCTGACAGTCCTATTTCTTATTGTTTACGTGCAGTCTAATTCGATTTTTGTCAAAAGAAAAATGGTTTCAATATTAGGAACTGAATGGAAATTTTTTTTTTTTTAACATTTTTGCATTTATATTTAGATCAAATTTGAAAATTTAAACTGAACAACCCTAAATGATTGAAAATTATGCAGACAGTAGTTTGAAACTATAATATTAACGGTATGTTTAATTCCATAAACTACTATAAGTCAGACTTAAAAAAGGAAATGGATACCATTTAATTCCCAAATTTAAAAACTATTTTGTAACCAAATCAAATTATCTAGAACCCAACTTATGTATGCATTGTATTAATTGAATAGGAACTGCAGCTTGCAACAGTGGATAATCCTTTCAATGCAGGAGAGTGGGCTCTATCGCAAATGCTGAACCAGCCTGAGATGCTTAAGAAAGCAGTAGAAGAACTAGATCGGGTGGTTGGAAAGCATAGGCTTGTTCAAGTGTCTGATATCCCTAAGCTCCCTTACATAAGGGCTTGCTCAAGAGAAGCTCTTAGGTTGCATCCAGTTGCACCATTTAACCTACCCCATGTGTCCAATGCAGATGCTGTAGTTGCAGGCTACTTCATCCCAAAGGGGAGTGCTGTTCTCCTCAGTCGTTTAGGCCTCGGGCGCAATCCTGAAGTTTGGGAAAATCCATTGAGATTCAACCCAGAACGCCATCTGAATGGAGATGCTGGTCAACAAGTTGAACTGGAAGAGCATGAGCTGAGATTCATTACGTTCTCTACCGGAAGGAGAGGATGCATGGGTGGTTCGCTTGGGACTACCATAACTGTAATGCTCCTTGCAAGGCTTCTACAAGGGTTTACGTGGAGCATGCCACCCAATGTAGACAAGATTGACCTCACTGAGGCTCTATCCCTCTTCAAAGCCAACCCTTTGTATGCACATGCTAAACCGCGGTTGCCTGCTACTCTATACTTGGTTTAGTGACCATGCATAGATAATTTGCCGTTAATAAAAAAGTAATTATGGCGTATTTCTTATGCAAGCAATAAATGAGATGTTTTGTTTGTCTTTTTTGTTTAAGAAACGATATTATCTACACTAAGGAGAATGAGTGGGCTTAGCCTCACAGTAGGCTAGCATGACACGCCCCGACCTCGATGTCCAAAGGACAACGAGATGGCCATGTGCTGGACGACACCCGAAAGTGACACAAGCCATTTCATGAATGCATATGACGAGAACATGTAAAACATGCATAAAATTTTCGCGCGTAACCATGCAATGTAATATCCAAAAACAAACCTTAACAAAATAAAAGTAATAAGGTACGGGTCACTGGATCAAAGGAGAATATTCAACTACGAACAATTTAAAAGTGATAATGCATGAACATGTTCAGAGTATACTACTAATTCAAAATACAAGCGGAAGGAATATTGAAAAGTGTGATTACAAGAGATGTCCTACGCAGAGAGGAGGACACAAATTCACTGATATGGAAATACCTCGTAGCTCGGATCGTATGCCTCATTCCTAGGTCCTGAAGGGGGGCAAAACAAAATATGGGTGGACGAAGTTAATATATATATGTAGTACTAAAACAATTACTCTTCATCTGAAAACCCTAGCATTCCATAATACCTTCATAAAACATATATCATATATAGTGTGCTTAGTAGTGATATCATAATCGCCGGAAAGCACCTACATCACCTGCTCGAAGGCACTACATTGCCTGCCTGAAGGCACATATATATTCCGCCCGAAGGCACATATATCATCCCCCGAAAGCATTACATCGCCCGCCCGAAGGCACATTGTATGAATATCCACTAACTAAGCACAGAAAATCATGAACATAATCTTTCCAAAATATATATCGTCGGAACTCAATAGCTTAAACATCGTATCATAAATCTATAGGAGCGTTCTAACTCAAATCATCATCATAAACCATGTTCATAAGTATATATATTCATAAATATTTCAAAGAACGTAAATTCGATAAAGCATGATATTTCATAAAGTATAAATCCGATAACTCATAAACGTTTCATAAAACGTAGTCATAAAATCATGTTTTTCATGTATGCATTTCTAGTAATAAGATCATGCATTTTAGAAGGGGTCCACTCACAAATACTCCGTCGTCGAAAAGCCGTTCGAATTAGAGAGGATGGGGTTGCCACTAACAAACGCACCTAAGCATATAAAAGGATCGATTAGTAAAACTCTACTAAAATGATTTAATTAAGGAAAACGGAGTGCGGATTTGGAATAAGGACTTCGAAATTTGTCTAGGAGGGGTCCTTACCAGAACCCAAAAACAGTTAACCAAAAGTCAACGTTCACGGTCAACGCTGATCGAGAAGTCAACGGCTGACTCAGCCGAGCCAAGCCACCAGAGCTCACCGAAAACTGGAAGTTTTGGCCTGAAGTTTGGACAAACTTCAAAACTTTGTAACTTCATCATTTATTAACCAAATTCGACCCATATTAGGACGCCCAATAGTTGTCGGAGATGATCGAAAAATGGCTTGTAAGGTGACTGGTCCGTGGGAAAACTATGGAACTCACCGAAAACTAAATAAACTTTAAATGTTCATAACTTCTTCAATACTCAAAGAAATTGAGTGATTCATAAACAAAAATCATACTTCTCGACGAGACGAAGAGAATAATACCTTCTCGATGGCTAACTCGTCGTGGTTTGACCGAAAAATGGCTGCAAAGTGGCGGTCCACGCCATAAAACTGGGGAAGTTTTCCCCTTGAGTTTCCTACGTCCAAACATCACCAAAACTTCTCAAAACCACTTCTAAATATACACTAAGACATGATCTACAACTTTTGAACAAGTTTTGAGGTTTACCTTCGTCGGAGAAGGTGGAAACTCGCCGGAGAACTTGGTGAACAGTTAAACTATACTGTGCAGCAATGTAAGAGCTGTTTGGAGGGTTTTCTGGGTTCGTGGGCACACAGGTAGGGTGGTGGTGGTGCCATGGTTGTTGTTTGTTGTGTGTTGCTGTTTATGTGTGTAAAGCCCTCGGGTAGGGTTGGTTCCAAGGAAAACCGAAAGAAAGAGAATAAAAAAGTGTAGAAAAATGTGAGAGTTAGAGAGAGAGAGGTTGACAAAAAATAAAAAGGGAAGAAGGGGTGTCATAAGACAAGGGGAAAAGCAAGGGGACAAACTTGTGTCATGGGACAAGGGGAAAAGCAGGGGGATAAACTTTCCATTATGGGTCCCAGTGGCTCACAATTTAAGATTACTAGAGACGAAACATAATATCTTTGTTATAGCTCCAAATTCGAATCCCTTTGCACCCACGTGTTCATGGCGATGAGTACAATAAGAATAAAATAAGAAAGTTAGTCATACGCGTTACGACAAGGTGGTTAACTAAAGTCAACATTCTTTCCACAAGGGTATTTTGGTAAATTCACATCATTTAATATTACAGAAACGTTAAATTAAGGACGGTGTATCACAATCTACCCCCTTAAGAGAATTTCGTCCTCAAAATTTACTACCTCAAGTAAACAGGTACGGATATTGGCTTCTCATCAGTTCTTTTGTTTCCCACGTCACTTCCTCGACTATGTGATTCCTCCACAACAACTTTATCAATGGAATGACTTTGTTTCTCAGCGTTTTTTCCTGTCGGTCGACGATTTCCATTGGCTCTCAACATGGCTCATGTCCTATCTCACTTCACGTATACGGCTTATTTGCCCACTTACTTAGCGAACTCAACAAATAAGCCATTGATATTACAGTCGGCAACCCGCAATATCAACAATTCATTGTTGTCTCGATAAACAAGTAGTAATTTCTCGAAGGTGCAAAATTACCATTTTGTCCAACTCCAAGGCGACATCATCTAAAGTACACATTTTCCCATGTCGAAATTTCGATCATTCGAATACCAGTTTGCATTACTCTTCTGTCTAACAAGTGTTGCCTGTAGAATCTCTCGTACCATGTCTCAAATCATGTTATACCCAAATTGAAAATATTAACTATCATCGTAAACAACTCCAGTAGAGACTGGTGAAAAATCTACTCATGCTGACACCACAAACTGATGAACACAACACGTCCTCCAAGGTCTGGATAGTTCGTTCAGACTAGCCAACAGTTTGAGAATGAAATGGGATACAATTTAATACTGCCAGCATGCATGACATATGCTTAAATGTGAGCCTCATCAAGAATTTTCCTTTTTCATAGCTTCATTACCCTTAGGCAAAGACAATTTGTTTCTTATCAATAGAGTTATAACTCCTCGAACTTTCAAATCCCGTAACATGTCATCCGACACTTGCTCTTCGTACATTACGAATCAAACTCTTGGGTTTCTTACCCGAAATCTACCGATACATGTTTGACTTAGAAGTGAGCCGACAGTACTCTAATGGATCAGGTGCCAAAGTAATGCCAATTCCTCGAAGAGAAAACAATAGTGGAACATGGATAGCTCGGATATAGATAAGATGTCCAAGGGATTTCTGGCTAAGAGCATCAACTACGACATTTGCCTGACCAAGATGATACTCAAAAGTGCAATTAGAATCATCGATGAGTTCCATCTACATTTTCTGTCTCAAACTCAACTCCTTCTATGTGACAACACACTACAATTTCTTTGGTCATAAAGGATGCAACACTTCTTGCTGTAGAGATAAAATCACCAGATTTTATAGCAAGGAAAATTGTTACTAGCTCTAGGTCATAGATAGGATAATTCTCTCCATGAGGTTTGAGATATTCGGGAGCATAGGCGATGACCTTCCCATGCTACATCAGAAAACAACCCTAAATGTGACAAGGATGCAAAATAAGAGACTTAAAACTCATCACCAACGTCACGAAAAGCAAGGACGGTAGCATGAGTATGATGATGCTCCAAACTCTAAAAAGTTTTGTGCCCAACTTTCGTCCCACATAAATTTCTACAAAGAAAGTGTGTCATTAGTTTTTCAAGTAAGACAATAACCATTGGCTCAAGGTCGCATATAAGATGGTTCACTTCATGCGGTTCTAACCATCAAGAAGCACATGCGTTACTAGATCATGCTGCATCAACGTGCAGCCAAACATTCAATAAAACATCATCGTAGAATTCGAAATTTATCGATGTTATCGAAAAGTGTAAGAACAATGATCAGGTGAGACAATATTTTTGTTGTTAGAAACTTCGTTCACCTTCAACATCTTAAACAAAATTGACTTGCTACTTAGCCAAAAAGGAAATAAGGCTATGAATCGTTAAGAACTACCGACAAAAATTGACAAGACCAAAGATATTTCGTATTTCACAACACCTTGTGAGGATTTTCAATTTTCAATTGTCGCAACCTTTTTTGGAAATTGATAAGAATAACGTTTGCTACAACAGAGTCTCCCAAGTGAAGTATCTTATCTAAACAAAATCAATGTTTGAAGAATTTGGTGTAAAGTTAACTGTCGATGTTTAGTGAACTTGACCTCGTTGTTGAAGTAGACAAGAAGGTTATCGAGCAATCTCAAGGACATTGCTTCGGTCTAAACAAACTAACAATTGCTAAACTTCGTATACATCTGATGTTTACTTACTTTTTCCACACGAACTTCAGAGGTTTTGAGCAATCTCCATATAGATACATGACTCTGCCCGCCATTCCTAAGGAACGCAAGTTGCAGAGTATCATCTTCGTTTCAGATCTTCAGCTGGTCTCATCCAGACTTCCTCTCACTGAGATTTTTCTAATTCACGTCACTTCAATGTAAATCCGACTCTGCTCGCCATTCCTAGGGAATACATGTTTCATAGTATCGGCCCGTTGTTGAAAGTCATCCATCAATCTATTTAGTCACTGACGAGACATAATCCCGACATGAATTTTTGTATTTGAAATAGATGTGACAATTCAGACAGAATAAGGTTTACACAACTGCGCCAAAAGGTACCAAATACGGAAGCCGTGACATCCAAATGATGTCAAGGTCGACACACTACTAAAGTAAAAGAAGATCCTAAGTATGCTCTGAATAAACTTTGCTATGATACTAATCTGACACTCCCC